CTTCAAAATAAACATTTAACATGTGAATATGTAGGGTGCGCATGATTATTCTACAGCTTACTACACCCAGTATAGACGATTTATACCTTATAATCAAGTGAAATCAGGTGTAGTGTAGCAAATTCAACATGGACGTCAAAATTTCAACCAACTGAGGGGATCCTATTTGCAGAGGATTTTTCAATATATATCAAATTTTTTGTTGCAATTATGAACATTTTTAAAAATCGATTTAAAAACAAAACATGAAAAGGCAATTTTTAAAAAAAAACCCCATTTTTTTAGGTACCCATATTTACCCCAATCACTAAACATCTAGCCACGGTCAAAAACATCTAGAGACTTTTTCACCCAAACTTGCCAGACTTGCTTATTTTTTTTTTAATTTACAAATGATGAAGTTATTCGTTTTCCATAATATGCACGAAACGCAGTCAACTAAATTACCAATGACAATTCATTACAATCAACCTATCAGTTACTTGACAATAAACTCAAATACAGAAAATAAATTCTGCAATTCCCTGCACAGGGAGAAGATGATGTACACCTAAAGTGTACACTTTTGCACTTGATTATGGAAAAGTGTACATCTGGTGTAAGGTGTAGACAAATCAAGCGTACCTTAAGTGTTTGGTTGTTTAGTTGTAGCCTAGTTGGTTTTATTTGTTTGTTAATCTGTCTCCATTAATATTTTTTTTAAGACTTTAAAGAAGGATATGGAGATAACGAACAGAATTCAATTTTTAAGACTTTAAACTTTTTCCTTTGTCCTAAAAAGAGACAAAGTCATTTCGATAATTTAATGAATTCGTTTGTTCGTGTCTTTGGTAATTTCAAGTTTAATATTATTTTGCTTAATATATACGTAGGGAATGACGCAATCCACATCTTAACAAAGGATAAAAACCAAGAACTCCGAGTTGATCTACAGAGTTATAACGGAGAACAGGCCTATGCTATGTATTCCACATTTTACATCAGAGATGAAGACAATAAATATAGACTGACAGTGTCTGGATACAACGGAACAGCGGGTAAGTAGTTATATCAGTAATTTGTTTGATGAAAATATTTCTAGGTTTGTGTCTTATCTATATATCGTGGATGGTATTAAATGCTATGGGTTGCATTTAGGATCTACAACATTTGATGCAGAGAGCAGCCCCCGAATCTGATAAATTGATTAACCTCAAATATTTCTCTAGTCCGTCAGTATAGCAAACTTAATAAGTGATTTATTTTCAAGAAAAAAGGAAAGACATAAACACAAGACATCTTCTTAGCGAAGTTCATAAAAAAAACAATGCGGGTATAAAATGACGTGCAAGAAAATTTCAGTACGATTTCAGTGTAAAAACACAGAGGTTCTAGAAATTTCCCTTCCTTGTTTACGCAAATCACTGCACACTTTTCCTCCTATTGCAACAAAAAGTGTTTCAAAGTGTGTGTTGTGAGAAAAGGGTGCACAGCGTTTGGATTATTATACTTTAGTTCACAAGAAAACACTATTCTTGAAACACTGGTAGCACCTCCATGCCTCTTCTTGACCTTCTTAATATATATACAATTCCGCAAGAGGTTATGATTAAGATATTTGAATACAACAAAATTTAATTCAAAATATTTACATTTGCAAATATTTTTCTGAGATGAACCTGTTGAAGAGAAAATGTGTTCAATTCTGTTTGAATGTTATTTGGGGGTCAGAGGTAATAGTGCGACCGAATCACAGAGCGGGGTGATATTTTGTCTATACATATTTCTGCCACGGTGCAACTTGTTTTAGAATATTTCTAAGTTAATAACGATGAAAGTGATAAACGATTTCGATATTTTTCAATCATGAAATGTACAATAAATCTTCTTTGATGTGAAAAAGATACGTTTTGAATACTATAATTACATATAGCCGAAAACCGCACTTACCTTTCTAACCCGAAATTTCTTTGGCGTAATGTAAACTAAAACAGGCGACACAACCGCTTTTGACTTCAAATTTTGTAAGAAATTATGAAATAGTAGGTTATTTTCAGCAGCAATCATTGTTCTTTTTATTATATACAGATATTTCCTGAACTGGACTGTAAACATTCAAATGTTGGAGCGAGGTAAACTAACTTTGACCAGACATCTCCTAGGTCATTGCATGTTACGACATAGCAATACGGCGGCCCGTTCGTGTAACAAACGCAATTTTACACGAAATTTATTCGTCTCAAATGTAAATATAAGTAATAAACAACAGTGCTAAAAAGTTCACTGGGAAATGAACTTTTAGTTGGTACGTGATCAAATCTACTGAGAGGCCCTTCGGGCTTCACAGGATTTGTTCACGTGACCAACTTAAAGTTCATTTCCCAGAGAACTTTATTACACTGTTGTTTATTTCGTAAATATGAGTGCCTCGCACAAACTATCAACACAATCGTGTTTTGTTCAATCTTACTCTTCAAGAAATCAATATTTTTTACATAAAAAAATCTTGATAAATCTTTTAGGCCTTTTCATGAATTTTGTTTGGATTCTAATTCAAAAAGATTTCTCATCTGTCTCGTCTCTGCCGGATATTGTGATGCATTTCCAACAAAATCATCTTAAAACAGCCCTGAATGTGGTTTTGAATTATTATTTCCTAAATCGAAAATTTGTAAAATCAACGTTTATCCTACCTCTAAGTTTCGAAGGTCCGTGTTTCCTCTGCTCCTATTTTGTATTGCTTTTTTTTGGACTTTGATATTGAATACTGTTCGTTATCTTTAAATCCTTCCTTGGCTATATTTATATGCAATCTGCCAATTTATGTCTATATAATCAATAACAAACTGTTATCGCATAGTCTTAAAAGGTTTTATGTAGCGTAAACATACTATACCGAAATAGTGCAAGGTTTCTTTTCTGATGAAAATTGGATATCGCCCTCACAGGGGATTGAACTCATGATCCCAAGACTGTCAGTTCGACGCACTACCGATTACGCTACAGACGCCGTTGTCAGTAGCATTGTACTATCTATATATATTTTTAAATATCTTACATTATATTTTTTTAAAATAATTTCTTGCAAATTTTCACTTTCACTAAGCTAATACTCCCAAAAACTAACTGTATATTATACTTAATGCATGTAACATTCAAAATTATAGAAAAAGATTATGACGCATATATAGCACAAGTTGACGTCAAAAAGAGTGAAGTTTTAAAATTAATGCAATTAGTAATGGAACATTGAATGCGGTGAGAATATTGTCTTTTTTATCAGTATATTAATAACAAGACTGTTGTACACTGTTGTACTGATAATAGTCAGGGTTTGACACTCGCATCTGGATCGTGCACCATGTGTCAAAACCCTGACTACTATTTAGGCACAGTGCATGCAAAGTACAACGCTATTATATAAACATAAGTTCAATACCTTCTTTATTATATAGCTATTTCCTTATAACATTTCCTCATAATTTATAATAATTATTCCAAGCAAAAAACTCAAATTAATGATTTTTTTGTATCGGTGTTCGAATTAATGCCTGTCCTGTTAGTGTTCAATATCGCATTATTCCGATGACCCTACCAAGCGTTATGATTTGCTTATTTAGGTTTTAAAGGGTGTAATACATACTTACGTTTTAATAAATAATTTCTTTTTTGTGTAAAACATAAACACATCTTACCTAGATGCCACTTCCTTTCTTTAATTTGGTTCTGACAATTTTACCAGACAACTTTCTTGTTTACAACGGGGTGTTCGATATTGAACGCTCGAATTCGGATTGTTTCGAGTATACACGTATACGAAATACAAAGTTAACTCAGAGTTCAATAAAACGTCAAAATGTTAAACGCTAAAATTCTCTAGATTTCAGGTAGTGTTTTTTAAGAGATTCTTTATTAGCTGTATAATAATAGATGAATATTGAAATAAAGAGACACACTGACAGGAAGCATATGTATAATTATAATCGGTCTCTACTCTTTGTTACAGGTAACAGTTTATGGTATAACAATGGAATGAAATTTACAACAAAAGATCAGGACAATGACCTGCGGGGTAATGGAAACTGTGGTATATCATGTCACGGGGGATGGTGGTACCGCGGTTGTACCCATGCCAATCTTAACGGACTGTACGCCCAGCCTGGTGTATATAATTGGCATTACATGATATGGTATAAGTTTAAAGGAACTGGACCATTAAAACAGACTTTATTGATGGTTAGAAGCAAAAACTAAAGTTTATGCATCAACAATCGGAAAATTCATAGGGTATAACCATGTTTTTTTTCAGAATTGTGTTTCGGTAAATCAGATTTAAGTAATTTACATGAAAGTACACTGTTGGTTAGGTGAAGATACCCTATTTGATTGGCTTAATTAAAATGGCTCGAGTGAGCATAACTCCCGAGTTGAATCTAAAGCCAAGGCCATCGGATATATGCATTATATCAAAAATATTATACTGACCAAGTAATTGTTCCACAGTTTTTCAAAACTGACCACATCATAAGCGTCGGAAGCAAATTGAAAGTGGGGGGGGGGGCTAATTGAAAGTGGGGGAAGGCTAATCCAGCAAAAAGAGGTCAACTCTAATTTTCAATTTATATTATGTATATATTTATAAAAAAGAGGGGAGGGGGCCTATGCACATCTAAGTCTTCTACATGAATGACATTGGAATCATTTGAGAGCTATTAGCGAAAATAATGACTATATGGTAACGTCTCACCAGCCATGAGAAAAAAGCAATTTTGGCATTTTTTTTCATTTGTTAACGCAAATCAAAAACTAAATGCAAGTTTTCAAGTCATAATTATCGTCATGTGTATTTGTTTTGAAGTTTTTGGGGTCTTTGGACTATCTCGTATATATACCAAGAATATCTCATAGACATTTTTTAAAATTTCAAATTAATAAATCCATTTTAGATATGTTTAATGAAAATATTTAAGATGAATAAATGGGTCCCTTATTTATGCATCAATGTACCTTCATCACCTGCACACGGAGTATATATTTCTCATTTGATTCGATACGCAATAGCATGCTTTACGTATGAACAATTTATAAAACGTGGTAAATTATTGACAAACAAGTTGTTGAAACAAGAATATCAGCAGTCTCATTTTAGGTCATCATTTTGTAAGTTCTATGTTCGATACGATGATCTAGTCAGCAAATACAGTTTACCACTGAGTCAAATGCTGACTGACGTTTTTCATACCAATTGTAAGTCCATTATTTATACATTGAATCGACGACGGATTTTCCCGTTATTTCCTGATCATGACAAGGACCACACGGCGGGTGTGACCGGTCAGCAGGGGATGCTCACTCCTCCATAGCACCTGATCCCAACTCTGATGTTTCGGTGGTCCGTGTTTGGTCTGTTTATATTGTTTTATGGACTTTGAGATTGAATACTGTTCGTTATCTCCATATCCTTATGGTAATTATAAATATGTAAGTAGGGCTGGTAACTTCCCTGTGTATAAACGGGAAAACCATTAGTTATTTTTTTTTTTTTAAATTGGATCGGTATTCTTTTTAGCCTAGGATAGACATTGACCTAGACTTATTTCTTGTTCATGATGTTCAAGTTAATTATGTTGAGATGATATTAAATTTCTAATCCCCACCTCAGTATAGGAAAAAAAACTACACACCTTCCCTATCTTAAAATTCCATTTAATAGGAAATATTTACGGTGTATAAAGAATCACATTAATGCTGTACAAAGACTTTGTCATGTGTCAGTTCTTAAAACAATGTTGTATAGAATTTACCATGTAATTCTGAGCACACCTGAGCTGAAAACTCAAGTGAGCTTTTCTGATCACCTGTTGTCCGTCGTCAGTCCGTCTAGCTGTCCGTCTGTCTCTAAACAATTCACATTTTCAACTGCTTCTCAAGAATCTCTACGCTTATTTTAACCAAAGCTACTAAAACATCCTTGGGTAAAGAGGGGTTAAAATTGTTTAAACAACGATCAAGTTACCTTACAAAGGGAGTTAATCAATAAAAGACAAAAATACAGAAGGGTCAATAAAACATCTTCTTTAGAATCACAGGGCCAGAAAATCTTAAACCTATGTAAATTTATTTTTGGATATTGTAAATTCTAAAGTTTTCAAAACATGACCCTGGGTACGTACGTGGTGGGGCCTTAATTAGGAATCCAAGCATTTCATAGAAATAGATAGGAAAATTGAAAATATTCTTCTTTAGAATCACTGGGCCAAAAAGAATCTGGAATCATCCTGGGCTAGCGTAGATTCTAAATTGTTTAAATCATGAACCCCGGGGCAGAGTAGAGTAATACTTTATAATGTATAAAAGGTCTATTCATTTTGGAAAATCGAAATATATTTCTATTTATTTTGGCATTATATGAGAACACACACATCTGTAAACATCACGGGAGAAATTTTTTTTCTTAAGTTTATTGGTAATTAATCTTATATGAAAAATTCCTTTCGTTGAAAAGCACTCGCAAAATCTACTAAAAACTTGTTACAAGGTTTTAAATCAGTTAAATACTTTAATTTACCTTTTACAAACAAGCTAGAACAGTTCACTTTAAACAACTGGGCCATTTTGACGGAAAAAAACAGACGAACAGAAAAACCATATCATAAACTGTTACGGATAGCTGTTTGAATTGTGAATTTTAGTCTAAAATACCACAAGAAATTTTTTTACTTCTTTCCTTATTCGACCAAATCTGACTCTTCAGGTCTCTGTTTTATTCCGACAAATTGAAAAGAGGATGGTTGAACTAAAAGTTATATCACAACTGATATGAAATCTTTCATAATCAATAATTTTTGTTAAAAAAGAATTTTAGTATACATATATGCCTAGGTAATTTGATTTTTTGTTATGAAAATTGAATTGTTTTATAAAATACCTTTTTTTATTCGACGTCGTCATGACAACATTTTTTGGCTCTCATTTTCATGAAGTCCATCCACATATATTTTAAACCACTCACCCGTTTATTTTTAATGATCCCCGCTGCAGTTTTTACTATAAACGTTTTGTGTTGAGTTGTATAATTATGTAGTATTAAAATCAATTTTTACAAACGTCATTTCTAAATGCATTTTTTTACTTAAATTTTTGTATTATTGTCGAAGAGACCCGTCAGTACGACGTCGGTACATTCCTGCCAAGCGGCGGTGGACGAGACCCAATGTTATGTTTATTTGGATAATTTAAAAAGTAGTTCATATATCTAAATGAAGTTTTAGGGAACGAGAACGAGTCAACATAGAGAGAAACATAAGATTTTTTATTGAATACTTTCGAATTTTTAAAGATTTTATAGAAGCTGTGGCATTACTTTTGGATCAACACTTGCAAAACTTTAATTATGTTTGAGTACTGGCCAATTTTACATACAAGTTAATATGTAAGTATTTTGTGTTTCTTAATTGTGAACTATATTTTAAAGTTCTAAATGTTGTGCTTTTTATAATAAAATCATAATTACTTTGTATGTTGTCTTTTCTTTTGTTTATCTTGTCAATGACGTATAAGGAATGGATTCTTTAGTTGTTAAAAATATTGAAGACTAGTTACATTTATTCTGTTGCAGTAAAGTAAGAGGGAAAATCATCTATGCATCTTTGAAAATCACGATACTAGGGGGCGCTTCTAGCAAGTTAAAGCAGTGGAAAAGTGGACACTATCAAGGTACATCACAAGATTAATGAAACAAATCTATTTATTCCTTGGGAATAGTGGACTCCTAGATCTTGCTCTATGAGTTTCTATGAAATTCTTAAACATTCATTTACTGATGGGTCAGAGATCAATCCACATGACCATTCATCTTCTGTTTTTGAAGGTAGCCATATTGATAACAATTTTCTTCATCTGCACAGATCAGATATGGATGTGGGTCGGAATGTAAAATTTCATGATTGCCATGGCGATGATGTATACTAATCTGGTTCACAAACACTCACACGACAATACTTCTGTCGAAAAATATATTTTTTTTTTTACTGAATTAATCTTCCTAAAACTCATCCCATTGTTGTTGATATGCAAAGATCTAAATGTAATCAGAAAAGTAATAAAGTAATAAATGATAAGTGATGATAAAACTTAGCATGACTTAACAAATTATCATGAATCACATTCCATCTTTTCTACCTTGAAAGGGATGATTGTGGATAAGGTACAATGGTTTGACCGTTGTTTGGTGCGGTCCCAGAGGTGGCATATGAAGGATATGGAGATAACGTACAGGTTCAATATCATGTTAATAAAATTGATCAATGCGACAGCGTTTCATCAGATACATCGGTGCCTGGAAACTATGTAAAATAATAATAATTATTTATTGGGGGCTAACAGCTATATGTTATAGGCGTGGGAACCGGGGGACAAGGGGGGCTTAACCCTTTAACTTTTTTTCTTCAAAAATAGACATTATATAAAAGCATAGGAAGTTGGAGCTTACCTTTTTTTAGTTGGTTTAGCCACTTTCAATTAGCCCCCCAACCCCCTTATCCACACTTTCAATTTACTTCGACGCCTATATGTATGTCATTCTCTCAATGTAGGATCTATAATCTCTAAGCATAATAACACCAAGTTCGATTTTATTTCTTATAATTACTCAATGTGGATCAACAAAGATCACTCATCTGTGTGAATATATTTAACATATTAATTCTCTAAATTAGAACCAAAACACGATAACAAGAACTGAGATATATTTTCATTTTAAGAAACTGTGTATTATGCTGTGTTTTGTATTTTTGAAAGACAAAACTGGAGTCATTTATCTGGGTTTTGAAGTCATATTTCAAACTTTAAAAAAATCATCAAATAGTTTTGGTTCCTTATGAAATAAACAATCTAACTTTTGCTTCCATATACTTACTTATAATAATTTCACTTTTTAAAAAATATAAAAAAAACAACCAAAAAAATAAAAATAACTAGCACATATGTTAACGAAACCAGTAAATGCAAAATTCTGCAAACTCTTTTTAACAAAATGGAAGACCAGAAAGCTCTTAGAAGAACCGATAAACCTCACTGACCTCTAAATGTCTCAATATTTACCACAAGTTGTTGAGAGGGGATTATGGTTAGTCCAAAAGTTGATAAGGTTAATAGTTGATAAGGTACCGTGGTTTGACCGTTGTTTGTTGCGGTCCCAGATCTAGAGGTGGCATATGAAGGATATGGAGATAACGTACAGGTTCAATATCATG